TTTTGATTTTTATCAATGATCTACCACGCAGTCTAAGCTACCCGACTCTCCTATACGCTGACGACGTAAAAATATGGAGGGCGATAAAGTGTCCGGAGGACTCAGATAGGCTGCAGGAAGACCTAAACCTTCTGGAAGACTGGGCGGTGGCCAGTGGCATGACTTTCAACTTGAAAAAGTGCAAAGTAGTGAAGTTGCGCACCTGTAGACTGCAGAATGCAAGTTACACCCTGTGCAATGAAAGCTTGTCCTGCACAACGTCGGAACGCGAATTAGGTCTAGTTCTAACGGAAAAAGTGGACACAAGCGTAAATTACACAGGGGATGTAGCGAGGGCATATGCGGTCATACACTTTACTCATAGACAGTTAGGTGCACTCACTCCTGAGCTCTTTCTAATGTTGTACAAAACATACGTCAGGCCACGCCTTGAGGTGCATAATATTATTGCACCCTCAATGCTAAGAAGAGACACCAACCTCTTGGAAAGAGTCCAACGACGGGCAACAAAAGGAGTGGTTGGTCTCCGAAACAAACCATATGATGAAAGGCTGAAGAAATTAGGCCTGTTCAAACTTAGCTACCGTCGGCTTAGGGGTGATTTAATTACCACCTACAAAATGGCAAATGAGCAGAATCACTCAAACAAAGGTGTTCTGCCATTGAGTAGGTATAGGCTCCCTCGTGATAATCCCAGAAGGACAGCACACCAAAGGACCCGCGTGCGCCCCCACTTCTTTTCACTGCTGGTTTGGCGTCCATGGAATTCCTTACCGACAGATGTAGCTATGACACCGTCTTTGGACGCCTTTAAGCGAAGGCTGGAAAACATGCAGCGACACAAGGACTGCATCCAAATGGCCTATCCTCTTAAAATCACATACACCACTCAGGGATAGACAATTAAACTCGTCATTTTACTTCTTTACATTCTCTCCCGTCTTACTCTCCTGACAACTTAATAATATTATAATTATTATTATTACCGATATATATATATATATATATATATATATATATATATATATAATTCTTCAAACTTAATCAACTGACTGTTGTTACGCTTACCTATTTCTGTTTCTGTCTCTTAGTCTGAATAACTTCACCAATTATATCTATTATTATCATTACCACTATCTCTTTTCTCTTGTCGACGATACCGAAGGACTAACTGGCGAAAGGATCAACTCCAATCATAGTAGTAACAGTCTTAACGCAACTCATACTACAAACCACATATAATTAATCTCAGCACTACTCCCTTTGGAGTCAACCAAAGCTACGACAGTCGAGTGGCGGGACAAGCTACGCAGAAGTTTACCGAAGATCAGGAACCTACACCTTACAATCAAGAAGCGAGCACAAAGAAATCAAATTGGTTTATACTAGCTCGTAAAAATGATATTGGATATTGGAACGGTTAAACATTGGTATAAAATTAACTGTTATAAGTTGCGGTAATCGAACTATTAGAAAGGAATATTTTATTTCATGAATTTCCGGTTAATTTCGTTTTATTTGGTAATAATAATGTGTCATATCCAGATTTATATACTGACAGAAATGCGTTTCTTCATAATATAACTCACAGAACTTAATAACTTACTCAAAGAGCGTCACTGGGACTGTAACATTTTACAGTATTTTGGTGTTTATGTAGTAGAAAATGCACACAGAAGGTGGTGTTAAATGTGATGTGTTGGAGCTCCGCCAAGATAAGACGTTCAGCAGACAATGTAATATTTGAAGCCTGCCTTTAAAAGATAAAGATGTAGAAATGGAAGAGTAAGAGAAAATGAATGGTATGGTCACGCACCACCAAGGGCAGGTTGTAGTATATTTTTACTTATATTTACTAAGCCACTGTTTTATTCACGTTTTAACATGTTCTAACACACACACACACTGACATCAACAGTACCAGTATGTGGTTCCAAGTTGGAACTCTACTGTCATTTGTCGTGGAAATTGCACCATTATAGCCTGTTGTTATAAGCGCGTGTAGTGAAGACCATGGGCATTAGTAAATGCTACCTAATGGACTGCAGTAGGACTGTCATATATATACATATATCTGTTCTTGGGATCAAGATAGGTACTATAAATTCTACCAGTATATGGTAAAATCTTTCTCTCCTAAAATCGGGCATCGCTGGCGTTATTAGGCGGACATTGCTGGCCTTTCCCTAAGTTTCTACAAACGAAAGATGAGAGGCCACAATACAGCCTAAAATAATTCCCCGGAGTAATTGGTCCTCAACATCCAACATTGGGTGATTACCTCCATTGTTTGATTTGACTTGTTAACCTGTAGGCACCCAGTAAGTATCAAGGCCGTTTGACACGGTATTGCGTCATTTTCAGTCGCTTATGCACGAATAAATCTACTTGTGCAACAGCCAGTACCCGGAATTTATCATCTTGGAACACATCTGGTATTTTGGACGGTGGATTTGTTAGTTTTGCCTTGTCACTAGTCTCTGAACGGCAAGTAATTTGGAAGTTGTAGAATACACTCTTGTGTTTTCGTTCAGTTTATATTGAGTAACCGTTGGGACTCTTCACCTCCCAAACCCCTTTTGCCCCACCAGTGAACTGTGCACTCACAGTTAACTGTTACTAGAGGTGTCTTCATCAAAAAATGGGCATACCGACTCCGGGATTTAGGATTTCAGAAATTATGCCCTAAAAACATGATACACTATCAACCTACTGGGTTTTGGTGTATTCGGGTGATTTTTCATTTTAACCCGATGGTCAACGCCGGGCCTCCAAAAACTTATTATCTCAATTTTCTTAGCTAAAATACAGCTTGTTGAAACTTTTTGTAGTTCGCAGAATGTTAAGATGAATTGAGCGAGCTTCTAAAGTCTGTACAAACGTAGTGGTCACATATATCACTTGTCTACGTCAACAACATATACAGCAGTTACTTGAGCGAGGACATACGAGGAGGTGAGACGGAATGTATGTGTATGTTTATAGAAGGAACAATGGTGTATACATATACATACATGGACAATGCCGTAAGCGTAGGAAAGGGGAATCCATTGTTTATCTGTTCATTTCAAGATTGGACGTCGATCATCATACCATCTAGCGAGTCCACTCAGATGAACTACTTTCGGAAGAAGTTTGGAGGATGAAAGAAACTGAATTATCTAGCAGAACTTCGACCGTTTCACTTACAGTGATCAGATTATTTAACTGTAAAACCAGAAATCATGAAGACACATTGAGGACAGCTGGATTAACAAGGAACAGCTAAGCGGTTTCTGATTGGTGTTGTGATTTGAATCTCTTAACAATTTACGTTCGCACATTGCCGTCGACTACATATGTCCATGAATATCCGTAACTATTTTAATTCCTTCACTATTTGGGCTAGTGTTTTGAGTGCAATCTGGCCATCAGGTAGGAGAAAGTCAACGAGAGGCGTTAACCAGTCGTTAGGCCAGGGCACAAGTCTAGCAGAGTGGGCGACAAAACAGCACTCACTAGCACAATTTCTAGATGAGGCCAAGAATAAAACCATCTCAAAGTCGTTCAGGAGGCATGGCTAACTGACCCTTAGAGTATCATGCAAGGCCGCGTTGTGAGGTGGACAGACTTTAGGGAGATGAGGGAGCGCTTGCCTTTACGCGAGGAACAATGTATGCTGACGCAAGTTCACATAACCAGAAATCCCACATTATATATTCTTCATAGACCAAAGGCAAATAAAAGCACCAGCTGAGCCTCCAAAATACTAAAATCTGGGTCGAAAGAGTGCTTCAAGGAAAATTGCTCAACCAGCTAGAGACCGTACACGAACGAACTTAACCTGATGGCATGTCAAGTGGCATGGATGCCTGACTGTGGATCCTCGGCTAAATGAGTCAACTTTAACAATGAACGTCAACATCTAATGCTGGGTTATGAATGCCGTAGGGCCAGTGATTTTGGGGTTTTGTTTAACACTATAGAATGAATATTAAAATCTCCTACACAAGGTTGAAACTGGGTCTGTGAAGTATTGGCTTCATGAAAATCTTCAGAAAAGATTGAATTTTTCAAGCAGATATACGTTTCTGCTTTTTGTTTGTTGTCATGTATCCTCTGGATGAGCCTAACTATGAATATTAAAATCAGTTATGTACTGCTGACATAACCTTAATGATTCCTTTAGGCGAGTTGCAATAACTTAAGATTGAACTTCCGAATAAATCATGACGTTTAATATTATCAGCATCTGAAATTCTATGCCATTTGATTTTGTTTGCAACAGTATATTACGAAACGGATGAACACCTGTTCGACGAAAGTTGGTGTCAGAACTTTAAATTACTATCAATCTGTGAATAGTAGTAACTGGCTAACGGAGTTGACTACACAAAGATTTTAAGTAATATTATTTAGGTGATGGGTGATTCAAATAATAGACATCATCCATAAAAAGCAGACAGTAAGTGTTTGTTGAAAGCAAGGCGAATAAAGTGGCTGGAGTGGAAAAAAGGGAATTCAGTAGAGCGATAATGCATGCGTAGCCGTTGGGAATTAATAGTATCACCCGGGGAATATGTATCACCTCTTTTGCCCCAGAAGTCATGAAAATCCACATACTGTAGGTGGAAAGTAATAATATTAGACAGTTTGTAAACTCAAAAACCATATTTAGACTGATCTCGATGTCTAACAGAGCCGCAGCCATGCCAAAGAGCGGGAGACAGCGACTTTCTATTCCATATTTTTAAGCAGCTATCAACGGAGTATCACCTGCAATGTGCCAATAAAACTGTTCCTAGCAGTGTAGGAGCTAATGGAAAGCCCGATTGACTTTTTTATTAATTGGCCTAGCTAGCTTTTTGTGTGAAGAGCTACAGGTTTATGAGACTGAATTTGCCCAGATTTCACTAAAATGATCTCTTAGAAAGTAAAACAGGATAATATGTCTTCTTTATCTCTGCTTTGTCCCCAGAACAAAGATCATTGTTTTTATTGTTCGTTGTAATATTTGGCTACCTTGAAAATAATGGCGCGTCCTTCAGTCTATTTAGTAGGATAACGCTTCGAGATGGTGTTATTGTACATTTCTTTTTTGATTAAATTGTCCATACCTTCAAGTCTTACAGGTGGGGCGATAAAATCGTTGATTATTTTAGGCTTTGTAGTTACACACACAGAAAAACTCCCACATTTCGCTCTACGTGGTTTTATGTCAACGAACGACATACTCTATTTTCACTTTTCTGTACCGCATCACACTTTCAGTAGCAAACTGTCTGTATCTGCAAATTTTCATGACTGCTTGCCTGAAGACATCATCTTGTTAGTTGAAAATTTCTATTTTATGACTGTCTCTTTTAGTACACTACGTGCTGGTTCTCTTCCTGTGGTTAGACCGTTTAATGTTTCACTGCCAAACGGTGTTGTCAGCCCTGGTAACACTTATGCAATTAGTGTACCTGCTATGAAACCGTCTAACCAAACGTTTGCAGCTGATGACTGTGGCACATACTCCTTCTTTTATGTTAAATCAACTAACTTACGAAATGCAGCAAATGCTGAAATAGATATTAAATCCCCGAAGTATGGGTTGTGGTATGTTGGAGTTTATATGACTATATCGCTGCAGGTAAGCTTCGTTTCTCTGTTAAATCTTTGTCAAAATTAACTTTTATTAATATTTATTAAAAACAAATAGGTCTAAGGTAGTTTTAAAATTAGTGTTTTCATGGATATGTAGATTTTCAACAGAGCCTCTTCGAAGGGCTACCTTTTTTCGTCCAGGACATAAGATTCACTTACCATGAATCTTTTAATTCTGAAATATAAGTCGTATTGATAAATCTTTATTGCGTCGTTTGCATGATCGACTGTCAAAAAAATAATGTCTACTTTTATTATTCCTATCTCCTTTATTTTTTGTATGCATATAATCATTGATTTTCATTATTTCCCGGGGACAATGTCTTAATGATAGATTAATGAAGACATTCACCCATTTTTACTCCTAACATATGTTTCTACTTTGGGTTAAATTCAAAACTTGTATCTTTTTATTATATTCTACCATAAAATATCCTTCCTGTACTTTTTATAGAAAGAATGTATAGCGTGGTTATTACCTTCTGTCAGACATGATATTTCCAGTATTGACGGATTTATATCATACAGTGAGAATATTCAGTCCAAACTCAACTATTCTACTCCTTTTGAAAAACCAGTCGGTGAAAGCTCCACTAACTTTCCTAGTCAATCAACACTCGATTCACGTGTCAGCAAAAAGCTGTTCCACAGGAAGAAACGACGTAAACCGCTTTATCGTTCAGCTATTCATTCAACAGCAGACCAACCAAAACATGGTGGTTCCATAGTACTTCCTAGCCCTTCAAATGAACCAATGAATAGTGGCTCACAAGATTCAGGGAATTTATTCATAATTTCACCATTTGATTTAGAGCTGTCTCCTATGGAAAATCGGTTGTACACGTAAGTCTTTTATTATTTATTTGATTTTCATCTGAAGTCCAATAGTAACGTTTTGTTAAAGCAGTTAAGACGTCTTTGACGTTATATGGTGAACAAGTGCGTTTAAAGAATTGTCTTCCAGATTTTGCTATGCACATCAAAAGTTTTGTATTGTATGTTATTTTTATGTTTTTTCTCAGTTCATCTTAAATACATTTGCAGCTTGCCGGCGCACACCTGATATCTATGGTCGGCCTGCAAAATTTGGGCTACCGATATCCATGCTGAAAATTCCATACTTGTACCAAAAATACAGTGTGGAATCAAGCTGTAAATCAAAAAATAAATCTCAAAGACAGAATTTATGTAAAGTCTTTCCGTTTCGTAAGATAGTTAGCATTTCATTTGTTGTATCCAGTGGACACTGGTCATAACTGACCAGAGATTATTAGTCTCAGTTTCGTTTGAAAACTTCTGAATACCTTGGTTTTTTTAAGTACTCCATACCTCATTGAAAGGTGTAAGTCCTGAATAAAGTACATGAAGATACTCTACAAAATTAGATGTCAAGTCAATGAAGCTGTAGAAATGCAGTAAGGGTTTCAGTAGACCATACGATTTGAGTCTTTGGGAAGAAATTTATAAAATGTAGTGTCAACAGAGGCGTATAAAAATTGCCTCACTCTGTAGCTCCAAACCGTTGGTTTTCAGAGGTTTCCTCTTAGTCGTGCGGAGTTTTGTTTTGTATTTGTTCCATTCGGTCTTTTGAAAAACTGAATGTAGAATAACCGTACTTCTTTAGAATAAAATTATAAGGAATTTCCAGTAAGACTGAACATCTAGTTGGACTTTAACTGTCCGATTTTCACTTCTTTATCTGCTTATCCTCGTTTATTTGCATGAAAAATGTTTAAAAGCTTATTTGTTACACAAGGGGATAGTAACACTGTAGACAAAAAAGGTTTTAGCACTAAGTATGTTACTTAGTCTGATGTCCCAGTGGTATCGTTTCACACTAGATTCCTCATACGCTGTCAACCAATTTATTCATTTCTGTGACTATATTCCTACCACCATCTCTAAAAATACCCGAGGGTAAGTTGTCTGGAGCAGATGCCTTATGGTTTGTCCAGTGTTCATAGTTCCTTTCAAACGTTCACTTCGTCAGTTGGATCAGTGAATTACTCATCGTAGGGTTTGTGAAAAGACACCAGGCATTGAACTAATTAACTAATTATTTGGTTTGTAATGTTTTTTTATTCTTGTCACTATTCGTAAATTAGGGCAGATATGCTGTTAATGTTTGTAGACTTATAAAACCTATTATAAATAGTTTTTATTGTCTTTCTCGTTGATATAGACTCCCTGTTATGGACGAAATGACTAGTATAGACTTTGTATTAGAAGAATGCAGGATTGTTACACCGATCGCTCCATCACTTGGAAATATATCGGAGTCTAAGAGAAGCAATCCAAATTTAAAAGAAGCATCAGAATCACCTTCAAACAATGATCTGCTTAGTGAAATGATATCCGATCCATCTTTATGTCCAGTCATTGTTGATGCTAGTGCTGGAGCTGTACCACTCAGTCTTTCTAATCTAGACCAACCTAAAGTATTTGGAATTTTGACTGAAAATAAATCTGACAGTAGAGAAGATACTTCTTTAAATGCTGGTGGTCAACCTTCAAATATTTTTAATCGAATGTACCAATCAGGTATTCAAAGAACATTCCGTTTACTAGGACTACGCGGTTCTCAAGTAGAGCATTATGTATACATTCTTAACAGAGCTACTCATGTCGCTGTGTATGTTCGATTAGCTGTGGTCCCAAAGTTTGGTAAGTTTGTTTATTACTCCATAACTATTTTTGATCTAATAAAAATAGCGGAATTAAATTACGCGATGTAATACAGTTTTAGTCTGGCGAACTATATCCTTTTATTAAATGTGTGGATTTAGAATGAGAGTCCGTTTCATGAAACATTTCGAAACACCTAGAAGAATCAAGACATTTTAAGTACCTGGGTGCCGCATCTCAGACGATACAATATCGATCCCATATTAGATAGGTTAATTCGATATAACATACAGTAACACAGTAATAATAACCACGTGACGTTTCGAGAACAGGTTATTCCTCATAATCGTATCGTATCACCATCTTATCCCAATTAGCACGAGAGATTACTCAGACAGCTACCTTTTTTTCCATGTTTAACAGTCATAAAGAGGGACAGAGTGAACTGCTGGGCAGTACACATGTCCTTGAATCGGTAGTTGGATATCACATACACGTGAGAGATGATGTAGGTTGTCAAGTACCACACCATCCTTTTGTATACGTGGTGGGATTTAGTTAGCAACTAGTTGATTAGGGTTGATAAAAATTCCGAAATAAGTGGAGTGGTCAATACTCCAAACTATTACACTGTCTTCCTCTAAACTAGTAGTCAGTGCACAGCAGTCCTGCATCATCATAATCTTGAATTTGGCAGGGGTGAATCGTCTGCCAAACACTGCAAGATTTCTACTTATGGTGTTCGAAAGACTCCATGTCATTTAGTACGTCTATGATGAAATTAAACAAATATGGAGAAACTGGGCACTCATAATAATTTTTTTCTCTGTTAGCTCAGATACTAAAGTCTCTCGTAGTCGCATTCCATAACTTGCAGCTGATAATTTGAATTTAATTTATATATGATAAGAGTGAAGATGCTGTCTATTGTCTTGAGCACTCAGCCAATGGGTCCTGAGTCCAAGTCTCACTCCACATACTCCAGTCTAGGTAATTTGGCGGCACCATCAGCCCTCATATAGTTAGTGTAGCTTACAGCTTAGTGTGTAAAAATTCTGTCCCGGCTAGTCAACATCTAAGCAATATGTTTACTTTAAAGTAACGAATTAGTGTTAGGGTGCATTTTGACTCAGCTACTAGAAAGCCATTGACACAAACATTTTACGCCTGTATATTCATCAATGTGAATTGTCTGCAATATGTTACAGTTTAACTGTAAGTTAAAATATTGACTAGTGAATAGGAAAAATCTTTTTCTCCGTTAGTTTCTTCTACACATTCCACATTCTCATGTCCAAAATAGTTAAGGAACAATTATTTGTTAAAAATAGCAACCTTTTTGTGATGTGAAATCATTAAATTCAAGGGATCTGTGTCTTGTAATCATGAAGGTGTTAGTGAGTGGTAAGATCGGGGTCAGTTAGTTAGGAATAGAAGGAGACACTCACCAGCCAATTGCGATTCCAATAATTTGGTAATGAGTCACACCTACTACGTAAGGTTTAGTGATACTGTCTGACCGTCCAAATCTTGGTATGCTCAGCGGCCTTCGAACGCCTCACTCACAAGATAAGTATAGCTCTCAGACTAATGGGTAACAACTCAACTAGAGTGCATTTCTAAAGAAGCGTGCATGTGACAACATACACGCATATGACACAAAATTATCTAAGCTAAGTAAGTATCTTAGGGAGTTTTGCTTAGTGGCGATGAGTAGTGAATCCTTGCTATATTATCATCTTCACATGAATTTTATTCTTTCGGGTTATAAAGTTAACCTAATTGAATTTTTGTAGTAATAATAAGGAAGAAGAGTAAGCGAATATACGTGTACTCTAGTATACAAGTAAATGTTAGGTTGAATAAACAAACAAAATTTCAAGAAAATAAAAAGGTTGTGCTTTTATAAGTCACCTATTTTTAGTCGGAACAATATTTTTGACTTACATACCGAATGAGACAAGTTTTAAGTGCTAAGGTTGCGCACTCATCCTGCATGAAATCGGAATCCACAGACTATTGTTATTTATTTATTAAATAAGTGGAGTTTTAGCCACTTGTCTCTGCACCTGACTTTCAATAAGTGAATCATATGTTGTCTGGTTAATGGTAGCTAGCAGTTGAATGCAGGATGCGTGTCTCGTCGTATTTAGGACTAGTCGGTTGGATGTACCGGCATCCCACTGAGTGACGGTTTTCCCACCAACTCTTAGAATCAACACTTATTGTCCGAGTCACGGTGGGAACACTTTCACCTACTGTGGATGCAGGTACGTTTGACTGATAAGTCCTTAATACAGTGAACCGTTCCATCTGTTTTACCCGCTGTCAATGAAATAGTAGCAAATTTAACTTAATCATTGTCGTACTAGAGTGTAGACATGTCACTCGAGGCCAGTGCACTAAAATTCATCAACATCATCAAGTGAATCATGAGTTGGAATCTTTTTCCACCTACACTAAAGATTAGATAATCAGTTTGTATTATTCACGCCTAAACAACACATGTACTCTGTGTTGCATGGTTTAGTAAATTACCCAATGTTGTTAAAGGCGAATTTTTCTTCCCTCTCTCTCTCTCTAGAACTGGTATCACGTTCAAACATTTATGCTTAATAGTAATAGTGTTATCTACTAACTAAATTACCAGTTGTAATTTATATTTTCGTTAATATTAAACTTGGAAATATCTAGAATTATATATATATATATATATACATATATATGTATAGCTCTTACACTAATATTGGATAGAATTAAATATCATTGATTAGGAGTTAATGTTTGAGTAAATACACGTATTATTTAATGTGTACTTGAGGTAAGGTAATAAATTCATGATCATTCGAGTGTTCTTAAATTTGCGATGCATATGCATATACATGTTATTCATTATGGAATTTCAGGGTTATTTTATGTGATATATATATATATATATATATATATATATATATATATATATATACTTGTACAATAACATTTTCAGTGACCTAGGTAATGTGTATTTAACGCCTGTGTGCGTTTTTGAATTCCATGCAAATCTCTCTCATTGAGTAATAATAATGACACACTTGTTGGAGCAGAATAACGCGATGTTATTATTATTTCGGTTAGTTGCTAGTCAGCTGCATACAAAGTAATTTATAGGGTAATTGAAACGATAACACCGTACGTTATAAAATTCTATATGCATATACTTAAGGTTTTATAGTTTGTATGCAGCTAACATAGTACTTACGAAATATAATTATATCATCTTATTTATTTCGACAACACAATAAGAAGATGTAGTTTATCTGAAACGTGTAATGTATTTGCACAACACATTTCGGACATTCTGATCACACACGTACTTGTCATACACAGCTTTTATAGAAGGCAAGAAGGCATGAATAATTACAATACAGGTCCTATTATCATTGTCCATATCTTATTTAAAAGAGTTACTGCTTCTATGGGAAATCTCCTAGGTCCACTGTTAGCTGATATATATATGTCGCATGTTGAGAACCTAGTCGAGGAAGAAATTGGAAAGGCTTATTTTTATAAGAGATATGTAAATGACATAACAGTCATTTGTGATAAACCGATAGACGCCATAGAAATCCTAAACCAGATCAACAAAGTACAAAATAGTATATCGCTAACATACGTTAAAGAGAATAATGGTTGCTTGCCATTTTTAGATGTACTCATAACCCGCCGAGAAGATGGGTCAGTAAAACGATCTGTCTACAGAAAGTCCACATGGGCGGGACAGTATCTAAATTATCATAGTTTCTGTCCACTACAGTATAAAAGGGCTTTGGTTAAGTGTTTGTTCAAACGCATTCATTGTATATGTACTGTCGATAAAAATGGAGAAGAAAGACAACTCCTCACTGAAATATTGTTAGATAGAAATTACCCGCTGAGATTTATTAGGCGTTATGGAAGTGTCAACCATAGGTCTCTACCAATACAATCAGCTCCTAAAAAGGATGTATACATATCCATGCCGTTCAGAGGTGATCAACAAAGTCTGGTCACTACACAAAGACTCAAGGCCGCAATTAATATAATTTATTATGGAGCTAAACTCATCTTCATAGAGAAAAGGAAAACCAGGCTGTCCTGTAAACCTTCACATTATCCGAACGATAGTGTCACATCCCATTGTGTTTATCAATTTACATGTATGTGTGGAGACACGTACATAGGGAGGACTCATCGGTCTCTGCAGGTTAGGGCTACAGAATACAAATAAACAACAAATAAAATCGCCAGACACAGTTGACCCCGGAAATAGATGTCCAACATCATCTATAGCGAAGCGCATTATAGAGACGGGTCATAAGGTTGATTTCAACAATGCCTTTAAGCCCACATAAAAAACAAGGTTGGGCCACATACTTAAATTCGTTGAAGCCTTAGCCGTAAAAAGACTTAAACTTGTCTTATGTGTCCAAAATTTATTTGTTATTACTTTAAACCTGCCTTGGTAATCCCATTTAGAACCAAGGACCAATTTACTGCATAATATTTCCAATCCCTACTTTGCTTTGTTTTTTCTCTTTGTAACCCACACCTTTACGTCTCCCTACCCATTATTTGTGACCTTGACCTGTACACAATCTGACCTGCATTGTAATTATTCATGCCTTCTTGCCTTCTATAAAAACTGTGTATGACAAGTACGTGTGTGATCAGAATGTCCGAAATGTGTTGTGCAAATACATTACACGTTTCAGATAAACTACGACTTCTTATTGTGTTGTCGAAATTCATAAAGGGAACTAATCGCTTTAAATTTTTGAAGAGAAGACTCATCTTATTTATGCTGTAAACACTGTTTTGTTCCTTTATTTTTAAATTTATATAGTGGAAAAAGTGTGTATACGAGTTCTGTATTAAATATTATTCTTCCTACTTGATATTTTATGTCGTTTTACTAAGAATGTTGTCTGTCTTTATCAGTGGTTCAATTGTGGAATGCTCGTAAACCATGTAATCGTTCCGGCCTATGCACCGCTTAGTCTTGTTTAAGGTGAATAGGTGTA